GTTCCTATGCCAGGGTTCTAATTCTATTCCATGATGGTCACTTCAAGCATCTGATTCTGGTCCATGAGAAAAGAACGCAGGGGTCAGGAATGTGGGCTCTCGGGCCAGGCCGCCTGGTTGGAATCCCAGCTCCACGGTTTCCCAGCTGCGTGATCTTGGACAAGTTACTTCACCTCTCTGGGCTTCCATTTTCTCATATGTAAAAATGGGTGGTGGCAGCGACTGCATCTATCCGTGAGACACACAGGGATATAAATGTGGGATGTGCCAGAGGTGACATCCGCTCAGAGGTGCCCTTTCTCTCCCTGCCTGCCATAGCTGCCCTCTCCTGGGACTGGGGAAACTGGCACATCTCTTCAGAAGCTCCCTCGGGCTCCGAGCCACCTCTCACAGTCCCAGGCCCCCCCAGTGGAAGGGTTCTTCCACCAGGTGGCCGTGCACCAGCCCAGGATGGAGCCGGAAGCTCTGTCCCCAGCCAGCAGAGGTAGAGGCTGACTCAGGGAGGCCCGCTATGGGAAGGCTCCGGGGACCGTCCTCCAACGTGGCTTGGGGTCCAGAGAGGAGACGTACCTTACCGCCACCCCAAGTTTCCCACTCCTTGAAGCGGAGAGAGTAAAACCTGCCCGGCAGAGGCACCCCGAGGTCCGAAACTCCGCACCCATCGGGTGTCCAAAAACCAGGGCACTGATCAGCCACAGACCAATAACTGAGGTCATAGACCAGGTCATTTCCAACCAGAATTATTTTCCCAACGTATAGATCCCCAAAGTCAGGAGCAGAGAGGACAATCAGGCCCGACCTGGGCAGCAGAATCCAGAAGCCACCCCCGGGGTCCTGGGGAGTGGGGCCTGTGTGCTCTGCTGGGGCAGGAGCAAGCTGACCGCCACTCTCCCCTTCCCTCCCCCTCCCATCCCTGAGGCCCAGCGCCCCCCTCAGGTCACACCCAGGGCGGGGGAGGAGTGGGGGAGGGGATCTGAGGCAGCAGGGACCCAGGGTGCTGACGCCCCCAGGAGGTGGCAAGGTGCTGGGTGTGTTGGAGGGGCAGAGGCTCCCACCAAGGTCACAGAGAAGCCTGCTTGTTCAGGTGGGGACATGGAGGCCCAGAGGGAGGCGGTAGGCTCCGTCCTGCCCCTGGGTGCCAGCCTGTGCCCCCTCCAGAAGTCCCAAGGCAGAAGGAGGGCGGTTGTGGGTAGACGTCACCCTGGGACCCTCCCTCGTGACCCTGGCCAACCCTGTCTTCCAACGGGCCTGCAGGGTCTGCTGATGTCCAGGGTCATGGCTGTTCTACAGATTTTACCTCCTCTTGGTCCCCACCACCTCGATGGCTGGTGTGCGAGAGTCCTCTCAGCTCTCTACTGGATTCAGTCAGCCAGGGGACGAGAGGGTGACATGCAGGACCTCGGGGGCCCCCAGCCCTCACATTGGAGTCAGAGCAGGCTTTTTATCTGACTCTGGACCTTCCTGTTGGTGGACTGGGGCAACATCCCTTTTCCTTCAACTGGACCCGACACCTACCACCTCCCATTGGGTGAGGCCTGCACCTGCCCAGCCCCAGCGTAACACCTGCCCGTGGTCAGACCCAGCAAGCCTGGCTGCCCCCGACCACCAGAGGGTGCAGGACAGGGCCAGGGCCACCCAGCCAATCTGACAGTGGAATCAGCAGTTCCAAACAGGGTTCTCTCCCCTCCGGAGTCCTGCCCTTTCAGACAAATCCAAACTGTGTTTGGAAAGCACAGCTATCCTCTCTCGAAATTCTGGTCCTTCCCTCCCCAGGCAGCCTGGGAAACCCAGCTCTGTGAGTCCTGGCCAGCTTTGAATGTGACATCTGGACATTTCTTAGATGGGAAGTGTGAGTCCCACAGAGCAGAGGGGAGGGGGCTTGCCAAAGGTCTCCTTCAGGGGCAACAGGCCCTGGCACTTCCTCACTCTGCATGGACCCTAGGGTGCTCTTAGGCAGGGGCCTTTTGAGACCATCTGTGGGGCAGAAGGGAGAGGAGAGGACTTTCCATGCAGGACGGAGAGAAGGGGTGCTGAGCACCCGGGGTTGGTGGAGAAAACTCCAGGAGGCGAGGAAGCAGCCTGGGTGTGGGAAATGGAGAACCAGCAGGCCTGTCTCTCCGTGGTCCCGCCCCGCTCCCAGAACGAAAGAGCGGTGCGTTTCTGGTGGGGGTTGGGGAGTTCTGCTGGTGGGAGGGTGCGGGACCCTCCTGAGGCTCCAGATGCGAAGGCAATAGTGTCTGTCCGTGGGAGGTGGGGAAGGCGGCCTTCCGTCTGACACTAAGCCACCGTTGGTCCAAGACGTGGTCGCACCGCTGGCGTGGAATCGGATGGGCAGTCTATCCAAAAAGGCAGCTCACAGGAGGAAGCCCGCAGCTGGCACACATGTGTGCAGAGGGCCAGGCCCGGCAACTCCGCGGCTGGCAGGGCGCAGGCGCCAACTAGCGGTGGCTCCAGCCACTACTCCTTCCCCTGGAGGCCCCCGCGACCTCTGGCTGGGGACCCGAGTGCCGGCCACCCCAGTCAGTTGGTTCTGGCATCCACCAGCCGAGCGCCTTCCCGGGCGCTGGAGTTGTGCCGGGTCCTGGGCCGGGTGCTGGGACCCACAAGAGTCCCCTTTTCTGGAAACCCGTCTGTTAATTCTCCATAGAGGGAGAGGGAGAAATCAGGCGGAGGGACAAGCAAAGGGCATGGCTGCAAATAGAAACCACTCCACGAATGGAATTTACAAATCCTAGAAGCGGCAGGTCATGGTTCCACCGCCGCTCCGGGGAAGAACCGGCGGCAGACCCAGGGCCCTACCTGGCCACGCCCAGGTGGGCCTTTCTCCTGGAAGCTCCAGAGGTCCGACCAGCCAGTGTCTGGTACTGCCTTTTCCTCGGTTCTGCGGCTCCTGCCAGCGCTTCCGAGGACGCGTGCGCCTTGGCCCCGGCCACCGACAACTCCAAGGAGTCTGCTCTCTAGAAAGGTCCAGTAAGAGACCACCCACTGTCTTGCTTCGGAATGGGCCTGAAAGGCTAGGATGAGGCCCAGAGAGCGGTGTACCGGCCAGCTCTCCAGGTGGTGGTGGTGGTTGGGCCACAGCCCATCCCCCTGGAGAGCACTGGCGGCTTGATTTCGTTTGGCGGAGGACGAAATGGCCTGCGCTGGGCAAAGGTCAGGTCCAGGACAAGATCTTACCACCTCCGTCAGACTCTCTGATGCTTTGCTGCGGAGGCTGGGAATTTGTCGTTTTGCACCTGTCCAGCGCCAGAGGCAACGAATATCCAGCCCAGTCTCCAAAGCGCCGGGAGGCTCGGCACGCGTTCGTTCGCCAGAGCCCAGGGAGCGCATCTCGGGTGATGATGCCGACTGAAAGGGGGCTTGGTTTTTCCGATTCCCCTCCCCACTGTATCCCGTCTTAGGCCCAAAATCTTGGCCTAGGAAGCGGGAGAGGAAAGGTCTGTTAGCAGTGAAGCCCAGAGTGGTTGGGAGCGAGAGCAGAGACGCCCAGCCCTGAGGTAGGCAGGGCCAGAGCACCGCGGAGGTCCTCGCAGAGCGGCCCAGAGCGCATCCGCCCCCGGGGACCACTTTCCATCTCAGAGAGAAAGAAAATCCCCTTCTCAGGAAGCGGGGCCCTGAGCTGTGCGTCCGCTCCGCAGTTTTCTTCTGGTCACGGACCTGCGTCCTTTTCTACGATGCAGGTCGGTGGTGACTTGCGTGGAGGAAACAAATCCGGAAAGCATGCGTTTTGTAGGCCCCACCATGTTTTTCAAAGAGCCACGGGTCGCCACAACGAAAGAACGAGGCCTGCGCCATCCTGAAACTTGTTTTGAGGGGAAAGTAGAGAGAAACGGGGTGGTCAGCCTCGGTCGACTGAGGGCCGGTGGGGAACTAACTTCCGTCTGAGATTGGCATCGGGGCCACCGAGGCAGGGACCAGAGCCGCGCAGGGCACGTGGAACCCCGTGTGCGGTGGCGGCTTTTGGATCAAAATAGTTTGCGGGCCAGAGCTGGGCGTGTGGTCTCTTTGGGGCTACTTCCCGCGCGGTGTCACCCGTCTTGGGGTCTCTGGGCGCCCAGCTGAGGATTCAGGCGTCACCTGCCCAAAGCAGCTAGAGTAGGGGAAGCCCGGCCGCGACAGGCGGGAGGAGGAGGAAGGGCTGCGGCCCCGCGTCAGGGAGATGCCACCTGGGGACCAGGGCCAGAGAGCCTCCCGAGCAGTCCGGAGGGTCCAAACCGATTTCCACCACTGTCCCCGGCTGCTCACAACCCTCGGGGGCCTGGGCGACAGCCCGGGGGCCTTCGACCCCGGGCGTCCTCCTCGGGGCGGGGCCTTCGGCCCCTCCCCGCCGCGCAGCCTTCGCGGGCCCGTTCCTCCCCCGCGAGCGCCGCCGA